CCTTGACCTTCGACCAACTTACTTCAAAAGCAATAGGGATCATCTATATGTGCATGATGAATGTCCTGACCAAATATAAGGACTGTACATGAAATTGTTATCTATTTATTGTTTGTACAAGGTTTGGTTATGGAATGCATGGCCAGGCAAGCAATGTCTAAGTGCCAATAAACCCAGCTTCTTTGAAAGGAGGCATATTTCAATGTAAACCCTTGGCAAAATGAAAAGCTTTCGGCAATGACTTTGCAAGAAAAATTTTATTGCTGCTAATTTGCAGTCATATTGCAGCAAATTTGCTTCAAATTTACAAGAGGAATTGAAGTTTGCAGCACTATTGCAGCAAATTTGCAGCAGGCCTTCTGCCTATCAGGGTAAAGCAGCTGAGAACACATTTCAAAGTGACTGTAGAAGACTTTATAGTGCCAGCCTTAATTATCATGTATATTCATCTTAAAATATAATATAAAATTAAGGTGTCATCAGTGAGCCAAATTCGATAATGTCAACTTGCATGTAAAATTGTCATCTGAGATCTTATATCCATCCACCAGCAAAAAACTTAATCATTCAATATATTTATATACTAACTTGATTTGTTTCTATATTTAGCATGTCCAAAAGGTATATGTTGTGTACCCTGGCTACACAGCAGCATGTAACAGTTGACATATTCACATAATTGTCAAACGCAGCTAAGTACTCCTGTATGCATATGTCATACATATCTGACAATTATCCAGGTTTTATGTGAATATGTTTTATGAAATTTGATTTATGATAGCTCTTTGAAATTTGAGGACTAGATCTATTAGTTGGAATGTGGTTATTTTACATCCTTTGTATTAAATTCCATCAATAAATCTGCACTCGTTATTTGTTTTGCTACATTACAGTAGAATAAATATGTATTTTTTTCTATTCATGGGTAACCATTATATTCCATTCATAATTGAGAGAACAGATAATGAAAAAATTAAGATTGTAGTATGATGCAAAAAATACTAGGAAAATGATGTACATCAAGTGTTAGTGACTCAACGTACAAGAAATTATGCAAGAATTTCTTCCCCCTACTCTCAAGGTACCTTTAACTTGATGTTAAATGAGGCTTGATCAGGTCAACCCAAGTTTCAGAACCCCATACGGTTTCCAATCAACAAAGATGAACTCTTTCCAATACACTATTATTAAATTAATCAAGATCAGTTGGCGCATGTAAGAACAGTTGCTGCACAAAAAAACATAGTCAAGACCAACAAATAAAATTGTAAAGAAAAGAAAACAGTCTAAATTTGACAAATATATTTTGCATGGTACCACAATGATGCAGACTACCAATTTGGTCAGTTTGCATGTGTCTGCCCACAATCCAAAGACAAGAGTTATCATAGACATGCGTTACAGAGCCTTAAGAGCAGTGGCAGCTCATTTAATCCAAACTGCCATTGAAGTTTCAGTAGCTTGATTGCATTATTTTATGCTGCAACCTCCAGACAGTTGACCAATCTGACTGAATTCTGTTTTACAGCATGTTGAACTGTAAAACTATGACTGCATGGTATATGGATGAAAAGTCATTTGAAAGGAGTCAAGGGTTGTTAATGGATTTGGAAAACCGTACGTGTTCTATGATTAGGAATTTAGGATGATTAACAAGCAACATAATTACATTTTGATACTAAATTGATAAGTTTTTCAACATAAGCAAATTTCACGTACACAGAATATAAAACAGGTGGTAACTATCTGTAACATATCCTTTGTTCCATTCGTTGCCTGTATTGGCTGATATGTATTTGTGTGTATTATGCCGACTGACCATGTATAGGCACTAGCAATTAATGCCTTCTGTAGTTTGAGAAATGCTAATTGTCTGACGGAGAAAAAAATTGGAGGATTTGTTCAAAGCCAAATTGTTAATCATTAGGCTCTGTAATTAGCTTGTCCATCTCTTTTTTCATTTTGACAGTAAACCCATTCCAATAAGACCTGTTGCGTTGCATTGTATTGTCCACAATTGATATTTGCCAAGAAGATAACAGCCACACTAAAGGTACATGTAACTTCTATCCATGGCTGACAACTTGCCAATGACCTCTCCAATATCCAAGGACAAGGGTGGGAAAGTGTCAACAATAAACATTTATATTCACTAGAGTATGTACAACAAGCAAGTGGGCGGGCACCATGATAGAACCAGCTGCAATGAAATTGGTTCAAACATTCACCATACATCTACACAACAAGATTACAAAGAAACAATAGGGTCTCTGCAAATTAGTTTTTCCTGTTGGGTGGTGTGATGAATTGGAAACAGTCTGATCAGGATCACTGTGCTGCATAAAAGAAAGTGTCCTTGACCAGGCCTCAGTCGTGCCATAAATTTTTTCAACGTAAACCCCCCTCAACATCTAATTGATTGCATTTTTTCCCCAAAATACATGATAGATTGTGTGTCTAGATTTCTGAAAGGCTTTTCATAATATTTCTGACATATGTGTGACATCCCCATAAACTCCCAGTAATCATGTCTGAACAGATATATACAGTAGATGATGAAGCAGATGGAAGCACAGTAGGTTGATTGCCATACTTTAATGCAGCAACTTTTTTGAGAACAATGACAAACCACCCAGAACATATTTCTGCCCACTTTTACATGGTGAGAAAGCTGTCAGTGATGATTTTCAAAATATTATTTGCAAATATTAATAAAAAAAATATTTAAAAAGCTAGAAAAAATTTAGAAAAAAAACCTTTAAAACATGAATTTATTAGTTTTAATTGAAAGATGATAGGGGTAGGTTTGTCCACTTTATGAGGTTATATGGGTGTGCCATAGTACAGCCTGAGGGTCATAAAAAGCAATTTTTGAAGACAAGGAAATTAACTAAAATGGATTTTCATATTCATGAAGTATTAAAAATATAAAGGTGAAGTCAAATTACCTGTAAAAATTGCATAAAGCTGCTTTCATCCTCAGTTTTGCCTGAGTAAATTTAAAAGCGACCATAGGGAGCAATAGACCATTATTTCCTTCATGTCTCCAGCAGTACACACTGTTACTGCATGCTAGGACCCACCAGGGAGGGTATAGCCCTAGCCTCATGTAACCAGAGGAAAATACACTTGAAGTCAACCAATGCCAATTACTTACTAAATTAGCAAAATATATTCACCTTTTCAAAGAAATAGTCAACTCTCCAGGTTGTGCTTATACTATTATTCTTATATATTGAACCTAGCTACTATATTGTTCTCAACAACATATTTTGTTATTGAGAAAAAAGTCATTGGCATTGTCAAAGTGGGTTGCATTAATCTAGTATGCAAAAAAAGCTCTTAGAAACTAAGATCAGTCTCCTCCCAAATAATGAAAATGTGGTCAATATAGAGGTCACTGCTGGCACCAGAAGTCACTCTTATCTTCTGAAACCCTGATGACTTCATGCTTAAGGTGCAGGCCTTGAAATCTAATTATAAGATAACATCATCATGGCATTGACCGAACTCAAGCATGGCAATATTTTGTGTGGTGGTGTTTTAAGGTACCATACGTAGCTGGAAACAAGTTCAGTGCACACTTCTAATGATGGACATAAAAGGTTCCTCAAACAATAATATTGAGCAAAAATGTTCATAAGCTGGGTAGTTGGAGCTTAGATGAGAATTATTCTACAGAATGAATTTGAGAGAAATCCATACACATTCTCAAGGCTGCATTTGGATATTGTTGCACAGAGTGAAGTTGTAGAAACAAATGAATACCTATAAAAGTTTTGAAATTATGAGGGAGATTTAAAAGAATATGGTATATTCTCAAGCATGCATTATATCATGATTATGATTAATCATAGCAGTCACAAGTTTTGAATGTCTTATGTGATGAAAAATGAAAAGATGAAAAGATAATTAGTCCAATATTAACTAATGCAGTCTCCTGACTTAATGACTAAATGAAGAAACTAATCAATGAATTAATAAGTGAATGAATTGTTGAAGACGAGTCACTTATCAAGTTTTTCTTATATACTCAATAACACTCACAACAAAAAGTTAGTTTATATGTTAAGATCTTTACTACATGAAGCCTCATCTAACTAAACCAAAAGACTTTTTTTTTTCATTTAGACCTTTCAAAGAAGATGTTATCAGTATCTCTGAAATGCCAGCCAAAGAAGGTAGTCACCTTTATCCTGAGTAAAATGTATGAAGTTGGAACCTGTTTGTCATTTTTTAAAAATCCTTTGCCAAAAATGCATTTGTAAGGAATTTGCAATGGTGGCCTTTCTGTATAAAATGCTGAATATCTGAATAACAGTCAGCTGTGCACAAATTCCATATGGTTTTGTCTACCTTTCTCTCTCTTCCATAACCGTGTTTTCTTTTTCCCTATCTTAATAGTATATCAACCTTATAAATCAAGATTTTGAATGTGTTTTATGTGTTTACCAAAAATTGCATCTCACCTTTTACTTTATAAATTCTGATTTATCCATCTAGAGCTAGTACTAAAATCTGCAACTAATGTAACCTTGACAATTTCATTTTTTTATCTTCTGAGAAAAGAATCACTTATTAAAATACATATAAAACATTTTTGCACTTAATTTGAAATGTAATATACTGCATTTCTTTGAAACCTGGTACAAACTCAACTTTATAAAAAAAAGACATAATTAAATTAAATAAAATGTTCACAATTCCCTGAAAAATGTTATAACAATATTCCTCTGATAGTTCTTCCTCTAAAATAGACTGCTTTCTTTGAGTTAGCAAAAAAATAAAATAATAATAATAATAATAAGATTACTTAAAGACTTTGTAAATATGATAAAACTTATAAAAACCTCCACAATCTCACTAAAGATCCTTGCAGGGAGTTGTCATGTGGTCTAGCTACATGTACCCGTGTGACATCTCTTTGCTAAGGGTGAACGACTCAACCAATGCCAAATGGATTTCAGGCAAAAAAAAGAAACATAATAAGCACTACTTACCCTGATGTACGTAAGCCGTCTGTATCTTACTTCTGGACCAGGCAATTCACATGATATATCACTATGTTCTAGGACTCCAAGCAGCGTCTCCCTGGAGTAGGGATGGAAAACACTACATCAGAAATGGCTGTAGTTCCATTATCTCAGTGACCCCACATGGGAGCCTAATAAACATGCATTATTTATAGACAGGTTTTAACTACTGTTCAGATCCACAGTGCTGAACAAATGCAGCTAGACAACGGGGGATGCTGAAGCTTAAGTGGAAGCTTTCTAGAGATTTCAGATTGCAATGGAGAAGACAGGGGTGGGAAATGTGTATTTAAGTGTAACGAGGCTGCAACCTCAGTTGCCATGTTAATCTATACAATTCCAGTCACATGGTCTGAAGGAATTACACCAACCACGCAAGCACAAATGCATGTTACACACTACAGTGCATATGTTGCATCTTATCAGGATATTTTCTTCACAGTCTTTTGCCAGACTCCCTTTTCACAAAGATTTCTGTTTCTTTTTATGGCTTTATGCTAACTTCCCGTACGTTTTTATAATTGCAGGGGCTAATAGTATGAATAACAATTGGTTCTTTAATTCTCCCCAACTGCTGACTACAAAATTTCTCATTATGTGTTTTAAGATGGGAATTTATAAAGATCAATACACCAGTTTATTAGATCACAACTGTAGTCCATGTTAAAAAATATCATATACAGACACTTTGTATACCCAACAACACAGCAGTTTGGTTCTTGAAAACCAATATTCCTTGTGGTATTGCCTTGACAACAAGTGCATTTCGGAGCACTCAGCACCAATAATCATCGGAAAGACACCACTTTCAAAGTTCTTCCTGATGGATATTTTGCTTATCACTTCTCCAAATGGGATACGCAGAAGAGTACTCAATACACCATTGAGACCAAATGTTTTTAGTCAGAAATAGATCAGGTTCACACCTCTGATATAGACTTATAGAGTCCTTGGGGTAAAGGTAGGCCAGCTGATCTTATCCCCTAGCCACTACATACATGTGACAACATAGGGACCAAATTTCAGATATCTACCATGGATTTTTTTCTCTCTGTTCTCTCTGCCACAATCTTTGCATTTTTTCCTTAATTGAATTTCTTTATTTCATTTTTCTCTATGAACTCAGTTTTCTGATACAGAGGAGAATGGAAAGTTGAACAAATATGCATATCTGTCATTTACACAAATTTCACACTAACGACTTCAAACGAAGTGTCGATGTGCATTGATTACATCCAGCTGTGTCAAGCAACCTCATTTGGTACACACTTCTGCCATGATTTTCAGAAAAGGGTGTGGGATAGGTGCCAAATCAGAGAGAAAACACTGAGAATGAGAGAGGGGTTTTGATGACAATTCGCACCATTTGTAAGATGACTTTGTTGACAGAGTGCTCCCTTACTATTGGTGTGGGAGATTATGGTGTCAGGGATCGTGGTATCGTTCCCTACACCTAAGATATACCTGAGGCCATTATAAAAATCATGATACACAAGCTATCAGTGTTTTCTCCTCACAAAGCATGCAGAATGCAGAGATAGGGTAAAGACCTGGTCATGGTAGTAGTGGTAACTGTGAATAATTCCTAACACCACAAATGTAGCAGCTTGGGTTATATCCTCCCTAGTGAGGAAAGATCGATATAGGGTTTGAACAGAGCCACGCAGGCCAGGTGTAAATTGTACAGCTGTGTGATTGGGCTTTAAACTCGGCCTTTACCCTTCACTTTCAGTTAGCTTGGGGTTTTGGGGAGGGGGGGCATATACATCCACTAGTAACAGAGAATAGCAGGTGTCTTGAACACAGAAATAGCAGCAGGATCCATGTGTAGCAATGTAAGTGTTTCAATGTCTTTCAGTCATATATTGATCGAGAAGAGGGCTTACTGCATTAACTTGTCAGATGCCTTTAACTTGATGACAATGTAAAGGTGTGTACATATGTAAGGGAATAAATGTGCACATTTTAAACTGACACTGTTACTTATTTTTGTATGCCATTTTTTAAAAATAAAAACTTAACAAAAATTTATATCTACATCCTTAATATCAGCATACAAAAAATGTGCTTTTAAAATGAACTTAAGTTCCTCATTGATGGAGAAAAAAATCATGCATACCGTAAAAGCTAGGATGACATTTTAGTGTATGTATAATTTGTGTATTGTTTCACCTAACTTGATTGTGAAACCAGTGACATTTTGTTGATTTGTCTCCTGCTGACACAGTAGGGACTCCCTGCATTACACTGATTTATGCTATTTGCACACTGCATGGGTTAGCTATAGGAGCAAGGGCAATTGGTCTTGTGAAGTGGGAGATTTAAGCTCATTGTAAGTGCTCACTAGAGATACAAGGTCGATTGTGAACAATTAGTTTCACTGTTTTCAATGTTTGATAGATATGCAGTAATCAGTATATTAGATCAAACTCGACAATGATTCAGTTACTTGAAATGATAAATAGTGAAGAGTCAAAAGATGAATGGTTCTAATGTTAGGTACTGCATGTTCATCAAAGTGTATGCTTGTCCTCCAATTTTGACTATGACATAAAAATGAATTAATAAAAAAATAAATTATATTACATAAGGGTGACAGATGAAGACAGTTTTGCTGTCTACACTTAATGTACTCTCTCTTTCCAGACATCTACCTTAAATGAAAGTAAGAAAATATTGTCAATCTTCATCCTGGGTCTATCATCAAGCTACCAAAAATTTTTGAAACCAAAATCTCTAAAATAGTGGCCTATATCACAGGACAAAAATTTGACCACAAACAAATGCACAAACTCACACATGAGCAAAACAATATACTTGCAATTTTTTTTGCTATTAATAATAAGAAAAAGAAAAAGAAAAGAAACTCATGAGAACAAAAGCAATAACTGAACTGCCGACCTTGCAAATGTATCTCAGTGTGTGCCAAGCTTGAAAATAATTGGAAAACCATTACTGAGGTTCATCAAAAATTCATGAATGCTTGTATAATGCTCACCAACTTGGAAGTTAAAGGAATCGCAATTGTAAGAAAAATTACATTTCTATGATCACATTTTACCAGCAAATAACATTTGGTCTTAGATTGCAAAAAAATTAACAGTAGGTTTGGTTATTCATAGCACCCTGATATCTGTCAATTTAGTTTCTATAGGCAAAAAATGTTGTTTTTCTTTTTAATAGACCCAGTGTTGCCAACTATACATATATGTGCATTCTATGCATTAATTTGGACAGAGTTCTATAGTTTACAGGTGTTATTTTAGTGTTAAGAATATCTTGGGCAATATATCAGATTTTGCACATGTCATGTACATGTATGTTCGCAATGCTACAGGTACTAGAGGTGGTAACAGTACAGGGTCAACAACATTATAATCCTGAAAATGAGGCATTCATCAAATATTCTATCATATTGAAATTTTGACAAAATAACACTGGAAAACATTGAATTGAGACTCTTAAATAATTAGAATAAACTTACATGTAAGGTTTACAACTCTGCAGGTGTTGTGACTACAATTTTGACGAGAACAATTCTTTTTTTTGAAAAGCATGTATACTATGTTTCAGTTTATGTCGATCTGTCTGTCTGTTCTGTCCAATCATCAGCATGTCTGCCAGTCTGATTAAACGTTTGTCTGTCTGTTCTTCTGTCTGTCTTGTTCTAATGTTAAGACCACATAAAACCTGTTAAACTTTCTGTACTATAAAAAAGGATAAAAAAAATATAAGCTTACCTTATTTTTGACAGCACATCCAGTGGGCTCTACATGCACTACTGAAACCATTTGGAACATGAATGCATAACAAAGCAATTATACATAATTATGCAGCAACTCCATCAGATATTTGCTTTAAGAAGTCCAACACCATAATAATCAATCCATCAACCATGTACAGTTACCGATAATGTTATATATTCAATGATGCCTGGAAAGTAACATCCAGTTACTATCAGGTCTGTACACTGTAACAGAATAATGGTTCCATTAAAAAATAACAAGGAGGCATTAATCTTGTTATCTAATTATTTTCATAAGCGGAGCTAATTAAAGGCATTTAATATTAATGTTACAAAAAACAATCATTATTTCTTCATAATTTAGACAGCTGAAACAAAAGGATGAATGCAACCCTGTAATAGGTAGTCCCCTTGAGATTTGTTGCTTAGGTGGTTCTTTGGCAAAATCAAGTTAAATTATCAAAAGCATTTTTAACAAGGCAGCAATGCTATCTAATGAACAGACATAAGGCAGAAAAATACACAAAATAGTTTTTTTTTGTCACTTCTAAAGCAATATTACATTTTGCTAATGTGAGCATCACCCAATTTAATTTATTTGGCAAAGGTAACATGGACATTTTAAAAAAATGTATATAAAATTGGGCTTCAGGACCACGAAAATTCATTTCCACACCTTGAAAATGACATATGAAATATGGACATTTCACACACACACACACACACACACACACACACACACACACACAAAAAAAAAAATATATGATTCTACAAAAAAAGGATCTTATCACTGACAGGCTGTTTTTCCAACTAAAGCTGTATTTCTGTCCTAGGAATCATTCTTGTAAGTTTGAGGATAGCTCATGGAAGGTGAAAGTTTTATCTTGCCAAAATATGAAAATGAACATTTCACATTCAATAATAATAATAATTATAATAGTTATAATAATAATATTAATAATACAATCAATCATGCTGGTTTTCAAGCTTAGCCTGTAATATTCTTTAGTCCTAGAAGTTTAAAGACAATAGGTCAACTGGTTTTCCACTTTATGTGTTATATGTGTTGCACATATGCTGAAAAAAAAAAAAACAAAAACATTTGGAAATTATGTCCAATCAATTTGATTTTTAAACTGGACCTGTATTTCACTGATATTCATCAGTCCTGCATGTTTTAAGTTAATTTTGACAGTTTACCTACCACTTACTGTGTTACCTGTATTGTATATATGCTGGAAAAAAGTTTTTAAAAAAGGCTTAACTTTTGGAAAAAATGGTGAGATCAAGCTGATATTCAAACTTGACCTGCATTTGACTAATATTCATCATTTCTGTATTTTTGAAAACAAAAGGTCTAACAGTCTTCCACTTAGTGTGTTGTCTCTGAAAGTGCATGGTACCAACGATAGACACAGGTGACAGTAATGCATCAAATGTGCGATGTAACCAAATGAGGTTTCTATATGTAATAATTATTGTGAAACATAGATCAGACAGACAGACAGACAGACAGAAAGGCAGACGGGCAGACACACAATCACTGGCAATAATGGCTCATCCATTTCTAAATACTGAAAAAAATTCAAAAACATATCTTAAAATACATTGTTGTATTTCGTGTGTGATATAAAATCGTGGAGACTAATAAAATGACATGCTGTCAGACTGTGGCATACAATGCTTAATGCCATACACTAATTGACTCAAAAGACAGATTGGTCTGTGGGGAATATTGAAGCCTTTGATCAATGTGAATTAAATCAAATTTGTCATCTATGAAATAGTGAAACAAAGCATTTTATCCATTACAGTCAAAACCAAAAAATAATTGCATCATATGAGCAATCTGTAATGTACTGAGCTAAAAAAGGAGAATGCATGAACAGATAAATGGCTTAATTTTAGGGAAGCACAAATTCTAATGGGATCTATTTCAGTTATTCCGTTTCCTCAATGCAAAATAGAATAATGTGCAACAGCTTGGACAGAAACTATGGTCTGGATTTCTTAAAAGCCTCTTGCGTTTGGACCATGAAAAACTTTGTGAAGGGGCATGCACTAGCTAGGTTGCACTATATATGTACATTATAATATCTATTCTACATGTTACTGTCTAAATACACAGCTATAATACACCATATATGTACATGAATATCTGTTCCACACCTTATTGTCCAAATACACAGATATGACACACCATATATATGTACATGAATATCTGTTCCAGATGTTATTGTCAAAACACACAACAATATGTAAGAAATTAGACAAATTCAACAATGGTCGACTTTCACAATCCATTGTGACAACACAATTATAGAAGCACATTACAAGATAACTATGTTAAAGGGACAGTTGATGTTATTTTTTCTAAAGGAAATCCATAAAACATATTATTCGGTATCGTATCAAAGTCTAAAAGATACAGTTTCTTACTCCGTGGATTTGAATATGAAAAGATTGCATGTAACTGTTACCTTGGTTTAAGCTTGAGTCCTTTGATGTGTTTTTGCCTTTTTTTTTTGTTCCCCAACATTTAACCACCACCCTCCCAAATTCCCCTGTTCAGAGGGAAAATCTGTTCCCCCCCCCCCCCCACCCCCAAGTAAGATGCATGCACTGTCCCTTTGTCAACACAAACTGGTACTGTATATACTTTACACAATATGTATTAAAATGTCTGCTGATTCAATTTATTAACAATGAATCCTACAACATCACAGTTTGAAACAACCATTATCATGTAACATGTTACACATTTACAACATTTAAACAAAAAAATATTATAATGGTGTCAACAGTTTGGTCTTAATTTTAAAAAACAATACCCATAGTTTAGAGTCTTGGATCAAAATTAATATATAAAGCAACAAACAGAACAGAACTTTATTATCAATGTTATTACCTCAGATTCTAAATACTGTGGAAAAATAACAGAGCACACCAACCTTGCACTTCATATGCTCCAGTCTAAAAGCTTCCAGTGGTTTGTGTTGATTGAAAATAGATTCTGAAGATATTCATGGTAATGTTCTATTAATGAATTTCTGATTGCACTTTTCCTGTCAGCTATGAGGTAGAAACAATTTGCCCTAGAGTAAAAATAGCAAAGAGGTTTCTAGCAGACAACAAAATATCTTGCGTCTCAACTTTCTTCTGCTGTTTGATCTATATGCTATTTTAACACTAAATTGTCAAAAATCCTACTTCTAAATGAACCAAAGAAAATGTAGCCATGATGATTTTACATTATGGTCTTCACTCAAAGATCTATAAAGAGTTCATAATAAGTTCAATTATAGAAACGATGTTTCAGGTAAATACGGCAAACTAATTAGGGAATAAAAGACCTACAGTTAAAAATGAATACTATGAGTTAACTCTTTTAAATTGCATTCATATAAATGTAGAAAGAAAAAAGGACTGACAAAGACTCAAATGTGATTGGTTGTACTCACAATATTCTCTGCAGCAATCAGGTTGTCTTCTCTATCACAACCAACAAGAAGGGAGACTGAAACAAAAAGTTTTCTTTTGAACCTTCTGGAACATAGCAGCAAAAGTTGGCAGCTTCCTTAAAATCCAGTCCTTGAACATAATAGCACCCAAGACACATTAAAAAAGGAAAATAATTGCAACATGCAGTCAACTGCAATGAACATGCCATCATAGACATTCTGTAGGTTGATCCAAAATTGACTTCCTGTGATAGATCCAAAAAAGTAGATCAGTAGTGACTTTGCTACTCTATCTCTCTCTCATTTTAAGTAAAAGCATGTCAGCTGGAGTAAAAATGATGTGGTGGATTTACAGACTGTTTTTTATGTCTTCTGGAAGCCAGTTAAACTTCTAGGAAGATGCCATTCTCTGGAAGAAAGGAAGGATTTTTTCTAGAAAGATGCTATTTGTTTGCTTAAAAAGAATTGAAATTGATTTGAACAATGATCTTTTGTAGACTATCAGCCCCAGTGGATGGATGTGTCTCTGTGAGAATGGCTTCATAAATGCTCTGAAGCTCAATTGTGAGGACATTAAGATGCATTGAATTGATCAATTTCTTCGAGGTAGCATTCAGACATGATAAAGATATTGGAAGTTCATGGTTACTTCTTTCACTTAATATGAGATCATTTGTGAGTCAGCCAGCAAAATATTACGTACAACAGAGCATATTATTTAATGTCGACAAGTTAATACATATCTTATTTTAATAATCAGCTTTAAAGATAACCATTGCCAAAACTTCCCCCCATATTTTTGACTAAATGAAAAAGAAAATAAATCATTGTAAGTAATGTAGTATATTACACATCAAAGCTTAGGTACATAATATGGAAGCATTATTTAAGAAAAACATTGTTTTCGATGTAATTGTGCTGTTTTCAAACCTCTCTTAAACCCCAATTTTTTGTCACAAACTTCTGAATTCTAGAATTACAACTGACCTTTTGCCAAGTGTGCCTATCCTCCTAGATAAGATCATGTCCATTGTTTTGGATGTTCCTTTACTTGCTCTCCTCACAGTTGAAATGTACCAGGTTTATATGCAAAAGTCAGCAAGAAACAACAGCATACACATTTCTCAAAACCATATCAAAAATAGTCTGTCATATTACTAATTACTAGAATTGGTCTTTACAATTAGATCAGCCGGTTTCTTAAGCCAATTACAAATTCAAGCTCACATTTGCTGTCTAGCTGATTTACTTTCTTCTCCGATATTACCCTTGTCATAAACTAATCTAAGCTTCTGACATAAAATCCAAGTCTAAATGTCAGACAACTGTCAAAGCAATGAGACATCAAATCTTCTTTGCTGCTTCATGACTCAAAATTCTGATTAGAACTAGCACTAATGGGATATCACGTTGTGGCCTACACGGGCATTTCCATTGGCAGTCTTTTCTATTGAAGCAACTCACTGGTATTCCAGAAACAACACTATGCCAGACTAATAAAACAACTAAATACCCTTCTAGAACAAATAAATAACATTAAGTTCCATAAGAACATCTACAGATTTTCAATTTATCCAAACCAATAAAAAGGCAAAGCCAGGTCAGACAAATGAATACTGAATGTAGCAGAGATAAAGTCCAATATAACAGCGAATAATCGTCCAATTTACAATCTATCAATATCAATGAAGTGGCAAAACTAGGATCAATGAAGGACTTTCTATATGGCTAGTACATGTATTACCAAATTTGATATATTTTTGACAGTCTATTACATGTACAGCATTTGGGTTTGCCTATTTCAGGGCAGCTTGACCAAAGTTTCATTCTGTCATACGAACTTTAATGCCTGAATGCCTAATAGTGTGTGTTCACTGTTCACACAAGGACCAAATGAGACCGAACATTGGCTCATTATAGTGAGGTTCATAAATCTCTCATAATCTCTTAATTCTTCTCTGATGGCCAATTCACTCAGATGAATGCATGTCAAATAAAGTGTATACTCAATTTTGGGTTAAGTATTTCCTGTGTCTGATCAAAACTATAGATTTTACACATATAAAGCAATGCTGACAACACATTCATTTTTGTACAGTCAGCTTGATAGGTCTTTATAATCTGGTAATTATGTGCGTATTATAACCAACAAAAGAGAAATGTTCTTCCTCTTCCAATCAGACTTGAAGGATATTACCTAATTTTGTTCCAATCTATATAAAATGAACAGAACTGTTCCAAACAACTGCCACATTGCATGAAATAAGAATTTTTCTCTGGCAGCTGAAAACCTAGCTTAATTGCCACTGCAAAGAAGGGAAATGATGGTGTTTAATAGCTAACAATGGCAGATTAAAGGGGGGGTGTCAGGGGGATCCCCCCCCCTCAGCTTCTGAAAAAAATCATACCAATGGTCACCTCTTGACACAAGAATTTTGACTGGCTGAATCACAGTTCTAAAAACATACAAAATGGCACCGTTTGCCCTCTTAAATACCAAAATTTTTCGGGCCTTCATCAGGCCCTGAACACCATGCACCATGCCATTGGGGGGGGGGGGGGGCATGGGGGGGGATCGTGTTATTCCCCCCCCCTTCAAATTATCCTGGATCTGCCCCTGTCTAAGGCCTTGAAGTAAAAGGAGATTCAAATGAGCGAGCAACACTATGATAACATATAGCTTGATCTGGCAGAAATTGCTGCAATAATAAAAATACTGCTGAAAATTCATCTGACAGACAAGAAGCTGTTAATTAACCTCACTAGCCGATCCTACTGCTGACCTACCACTGACATCCAATAAAGGATTTATTTTTAGTACAGAAAAAAACTTACAGGCTTTGTTTGAGATTTAAGATCTAAGGCTCATCAGTATACTGATTTCCTACACAAAATTAACAGTTCATGTATGTGATCACAGAGAGTTTTTAATGACCATTAGTATGAAATAATTTGCAGCTTGTAGCTGAAATAAAAGTTGTGAAAACCAAGTTGCAACATGTAAAAGAAGGATTTCATCTTCCTGCAAAGTTAGAGTACAAGTATATTCACTGACAAAATATTAATGGTGACTCTGTAAATGTTGATGTAAATGTTAAAAAAGAAAGAAAAATTAAAACATTTTAAGGAAAACTAGGGTAGAGGATAAAGCTTGCATGTTTTACTGTATTACTAAGTACTGGCTCACTTTCTGGGTTGAAAGTGTTACTTAATGCAACATGCTAGATATACAGGGAATGTTTAAGCACTTTGATTGTCCTAACAATACACCGTGTTTTTAATTTATTGAATTAATTTCTGGATGTCCCTACCCAAAAGGTAATATTTATTTCAAAATGTGAATTTCATGATACATGTAAAACAATGTGATGAATATTCTGCTGCTAAAATAGAACACTATGTGTTACATAAACTGATAATCAAATCTCATCTGATGAGAAAGCATTTGACTTACCATTGGTTCCTCTGAAATTTCAAGCAATCTGTAACAGTTAACATGTGCCTCAGGTTTCGAAGAAAGCCTTCAATTTCCTTTGAACACAATTTGTACAGATGTGTTAACATTCCCTTTCATCTCATATCTTGGCATCAAGTGTTTTCTCATTTTCTTTCATGTGGTCTTCCTTGTGTGTGATTCTGCCAATGAGAGACTTCAAGTGATATGGGACTGCATTTCCTTGGTAGTTTTTTCATTTCCTTAGTGAAACTTCTATTTTCTTCTCATTTTCTACCTCTGGTGATAATTCAAGAATTTCCTTTCTAAAATATGCATTTCATATTGGTTACTGCCTTGGTGGCTAATTCCTTTCAGAATTTTAAATGTATTGACCCATCAGGATATTTGATATGCGATATATCATAAAACAGCCCCCATGCATTTACACCAATACCAAAATAATCGAAGAGCAGCAAAAAGCAAACAGCTTGCCTAACTGTTTAGATTTGCATAATTTTACATATCATAGTATTAATGACGTCTACTTTTGCTGACTAAATGAAATTTACTGCCAGTATTGATAGTCCATTATCTCCCTAGGGGGCACAATTGCTACAATTTTCAGAAATCCTCAAACCCTGTGTTCTACCTTCTTTCACTCCTGTAAAACTAATGGAATTCTAGAAGTGCAATAATTATAACGTTTCTCACAGAACTGTATAACAATTTTGATCACTTTGCTCTCTTATTTTTTCTTAGAAAGTAATTGCTGTAAGATGTGTAAATGCAACACTTAACCGTCACATACTTTTGATCAAGAAAGTCTTGCATCAGAACGGTACATTACTGTTTTAACTATTGTTTTAAAAATCTTATTAATTATTTAGTTTTCTTGTTCATGTTCTTGTATATTTTGAATTCATATGCTTATGGGGCCAGCAAGAGGTTATGGTTGTATTGGATCATAATTAGATACCAAAAGCAGACAATGGGTATATTGTTGGTAGCCACTACAAGAAATTCAGAGATACCCTAAGTTTCATAGATTTTATTTGCTGTGCATACAGATGATGAAATTGTTGAGAGACATTTTTTTGTTCATTGAATGAAGCACTTGCTTTCCATGCATGTTTGGTGAACCATATTCCTGTGGGCCTATGGCCTCTTGGGATATGGCTAACTGCAACCCTTATTGCATAAGCAAATGTTTGATAATAAGTAGCATATTCATGGTACCTTGACTCTCAGGGTATTGAAGCAAAACAGACTTGTTTATGAAATCAACTGAAACTTGCCATGGGGAAGGACATGCTTCCTGAATTTATTGATTTCATGATACACACAGAGAGGAAGCACTTTCGTAGGTCATTTATTGAGCTGTGGTAATCATACCTATTCTGCTTTATGGCAAAATGTTAACACTTAATGTGAAGGCACAATTATTACACATTAAATATAAAATTAAAAAAGCAGCATTCCAGTATCACCAGCAATGGCAATATTATATTGTGAAAGGTACTCAATTATTCAAATTCAAAAATCTTAAATAAGTGGATAAATTACAGAGGCTCAGGTTGAGTAGAACCACATTCAAGAGAAAAGGTTTGGCTTAAACCCAAAATGTTTTTAGTGAAGTGGTAGATACGAGTATGTGCTCTTTCCATGCCAATACACTGGTAAAATTCCCCCAAGATGACAGGGCTTATCTTAGTCTTCTCACACATTGCCTTTGTAAATTACTTGTATGGTGTGATGCCTGTGTAACTGATGTACTCAACACGGATGACTGTCAGTTTACTAGGGACACCATGGTTATCTGTGCTAACTGACAAAATACCTGGAACCCGATAGCAAACTTGCATGATTTGTTGTTATTAAAAGGATTTTATCAAAAACATCAACCATGCATGTATTTTTTTTTTTTTTTTTTTTTTTTTTTTTTTTTTTGTCCTTAACTTTGTGAGAAATTTGTTTTAAAAATGTTGGCTGAAATGTCTTTGAAGCAGACCAAATGTATGTTTTGGAAAAAGCTACCTGTGCCTTACAATATAGATTCACTTATAAAAGCTACAATTGAGATTGTGACCCTTGAAAAAACTAATTATTACAGACAGAACTTTGGTAATATGCCAAAATCAAAATATAAGTTCTTTCATCTTATCTGTATCCAAGAACAAAAAATGTATCAAAAATATGTAAAGAATCCTTAGTATCTGGTTATAATAAAATAATAATAATAATAAAATATCCTTTGCACCAAAAGAAGTGTACAAATGATATCTTACATAATATCAAACTGATTTTAAAACATCACCAACAGTAAGACCTCATACATTTTATCGTACGTACTAGAGCTTCTTTTATAATTCTTAGAAATATTGATTTGCAGAAGCTTAAACTTGGAACAAGCAGGAAATGGCATCCATACTGTACCAATCCAAAATCACCATTCAATTAGAAAGTTTTCAAAAGAAAAATGATGTGAATACAAGTTTCAAAGACACTCTAAAGAAAGAGCAGCCACACTCAGTAGAGTATTGATCTAGAGTTATTGCAAAGGCCTCTGGAGAACTTTGGGGTGGTTTTATGAACAGAAAAACTGCAATGCTTATCACCACACAACTAATATGTCAGCATCCTTCCATCCAAATTTCTGTTTTCATCTTTTTAGAAAATTTGTACTGTATTTGTCATTCATTTTGAGTATCATTTAGTTATGACTGTTTTGTCAATTGTTTATATCTACATTAAGGTAAAAATGCGATATTTAAGCAAGGGTAGCATTGGCAGCACTAAAAACTTGTTCCAAAAAAT